TTCTACTTGTGGTGTAGATCGTCGTGATATATTTGGAATCTCCAAACCAATTTTGGATGAATGAAAAATTACGGTTCAAAGTTGAAAAGAAAAGGAGAGAAAATTTGTTGTATTTATCTAACTATGTCGCTCGCCTAAGGCTCAAGTGGTGAGAGTGTCGCTTGAGTGACAGAGTCTCTATATCTGATGCACAAGAAACGCAACGACAACATGTCAGTGACAACAAAAACTACAATCATTGGCAAAGATTGCTAAGTTTTTGGGTTACGACACTTCACTCTAAACCATTCATCCTCTATAAATAGAACCCATGAGACATCCATTTTATCATCCCAAAAATATGCAATTATAACTTTGACATAAAATTTCATATTTTCTTAGCTAAACAGTTGCATATAAAGCTGTTTTTCAATTTCATTCAAAAGGAGTACATTAACATAATTTTGATTAGTTGATTCTTGTGTTTTGGAGTGCTAATAATACAAGAAAATTGTCTGTCGTATCTTAGGAGTTGATTATCGTCAATTCGTAAGCACCGTTTTGGGGCAAATTCGATTTAAGAACAACGAGTTCAACTCTTGTCTCGATTTTGCATCCATTTCACTCGGCGTTACTTCGACATTTTTTTTCATTGGTTTTTATTACACATTTTCTTGCTGTTACTCTATTCAATTTTTAGTAAGGTTTGTATGTTTGGTTTTGAAGGTCATCACTCAATTCAATTTTCCATTCATCAATATCATTAAAGCAGTATCATGTGTGGTCTACGTCACTGGTCTACAGTTATATGGGCTCAGCACCGCCTGTCGTCACGGATCGAGACAAGCCAAGGACTGGACTTTGGCTTACGTGATTTTCTTTTTCTTTTTTGTAAAATAAATAAAGAAGCCGTGCATGAAGTGTTACGAGGGGTGTGAAGTGAGATTGTCTGATTTTTGCTTAAGGTTCTTCAAGAACAAGTAGGTTTGTGCGAGTAGATTCCCGAAGTCACCAATACAAAAAGTCTAACATGATTGAGCTGTAAAGTGTACTAGGACACTAAGTGGTGGATTACTTTTCATTCAACTGAGTCTCCATCAGTTACTAATCTCATTTAATAATTTTGTGGAATAACAAAGTAAGAGCATTATTGCAACTTGGAAGCGCATTCGGCATAATACTTTCTTTTAGGGTAATTGGCGCAAAACGTCCCTACCTATGACGGGTTGTGTGGAAAACGTCCCTATGTATGATTTTTTGGTGCAGGACGTCCCTACCTTTGCATTTTCTTGCGTAAAACGTCATTTTCACCAATTTTTAACACAAGGTTACAACAATTTATCAGATTTAAAACTAGCACTCAACACAACCATTGTGATTTACTGGTTCTTGAACATAATGTTGCATTCTGGGTTAATATAGATTTGAAAAGCAACGACTAACCTCATACTACAATATATTATCCAGTTGTGCACATCGGTTGTCTAAAAGTATATGTGGGCATAGCAATTGTCAAAATTATCTAAAATATATTTGGCACCTCCTAGAATTGTTGTCTTTTGACTAGAAAAGGTAATGCTAACTCAAACAACCATTTTATTCTAGACAATACGCAGCTTAATTATAATGTACACTTTTCCCTTCGACCACAGATTGACATGCATAGACAATTGATGCACCTTTCAAGTTGGTGAACTACTAAGTCTAAAAATCTATATGTTTGCTTTGTGGCTTTTTGATATTATTCTGTTTATTACATCTCTCCGACCTAAGGATTAGAACTTAATTCATAACGTGATTTCTCTTCTTATCAATACCCCCATCCCTGCCCCTCCCCACAAACAACACAAAAAGTAAAAGTTAGAATTGTGTTTTAAGTAAGTTTAAGTTACATATTTTGCCGAACATAATTTTCAAAATTACTTTTCTACTATATAATTTTTACTTTAACAGAAAACAAGTAGGAACTCACTTCCAAACATGCTAATTTTTTTTAAGTATTTCCGGTACCTTGCATCCTTGAAGAATATGAAGATGGGGATTTCCCTGCTCCCATGGAAAGACATGTCTTCTTTGGCCATAGTTAAATCCAGTATTCCCTGTGCTGATATTGGGAAATTTTCAGAAAGTAGGCTCCATGCATAGAGTCTAGAGAACTAAAATCAAATATCAAAACACATGTTGCTTAAAATTTAAGAATGAAGCAGCAATCACATATAATATAATATAACACACGCTGTTGAAATTTTTTTTTTTTAAAATGAAAAAAATTTGTAGCAATAAAAATTTTCTCTAGAAAAGTAAAAGCCAATTGTTCAAAGTCTTGATTAAAAGTAAGAACCCACCAAAGCACGGAAATATGACTTATTTGACAAGAAGCCCAGAAAAAAATTCAGCTTGTAAGGTTGAGTTTTACCTTTCAAAGCAAAAAGACTCGTATCAGGTTCTGCAAACCCATCTTTAGAATTTGGTGGGTGAGTGGTAGAATGTGGGCCCACCTTTTTAAGAAAGGTAAGAGTTTGACGGGTGTCCCATATTGTAGTGAAAAAGTGATCCACGTGCATTGAAACAACCCCTAATTCTGAATCTGTGGTTAGCATGTTTCTACTGTTTTTGCGCAGACAATGCAAGACGATGCAATTATACTCCCGGTTGAAATTTGTCAAGTATAAATATGAAAAAAAAAGTGAATTTCGTATCAATTTCGATCAAATATTCGAACTTGATTCGATAGTCAAATTATGAAAATAAATAGACTAACTTATTCAACTCATGGTGTAGATCGTCGTGATATATTTGGAATCTCAAAACCAATTTCGGATGAATGAAAAATTACGGTTCAAAGTTGAAAAGAAAAAGAGAGAAAATTTGCTGTATTTATCCAACTATGTCGCTCGCCTAAGGCTCAAGTAGTGAGAGTGTCGCTTGAGTGACAGAGTCTCTATATCTGATGCACAAGAAACGCAACGGCAACTTGTCGGGGACAACAAAAACTACGACCCTTGGTAAAGATTGCTGAGTTTTTGGGTTACGACACTTCACTCTAAACCTTTCCTCCTCTATAAATAGAACCCATGAAACATCCATTTTATCATCCCAAAAATATGCAATTATAACTTGATATAAAATTTCATATTTTCTTAGCTAAACATTTGCATATAAAGCTGTTTTTCAATTTTATTCAAAAGGAGTACATTAACATAATTTTGATTAGTTGATTCTTGTGTTTTGGAGTGCTACTAATACAAGAAAATTGTCTGTTGTATCTTAGGAGTTGATTGTCATCAATTCGTTAGCACCATTGTGGGGCAAATTCGATTTAAGGACAACGAGTTCAACTTTTATCTCGACTTTGCATCCATTTCACTTGGCGTTAGTTCGACATTTTTTTTCTTTGGTTTTTATTACACATTTTCTTGCTGTTACTCTATTTAATTTTTGGTAAGGATTGTATGTTTGGTTTTGAAAGTCATCACTCAATTCAATTTTTCATTCAACAATATCATTAAAGCAGTACCATGTGTGGTCTACGTCACTCGTCTACAGTTATATGGGCTCAGCACCGCCTGTTGTCACGGATCGAGACAAGCCAAGGACTGGAATTTGGCTTACGTGATTTTCTTTTTCTTTTTTGTAAAATAAATAAAGAAGCCGTGCATGAAGTATTACGAGGGGTGTGAAGTGAGATTGTCTGATTTTTGCTTAAGGTTCTTCAAGAACAAGTAGGTTTGTGCGAGTAGATTCTCGAAGTCACCAATACAAAAAGTCTAACATGATTGAGCTGTAAAGTGTACTAGGACACTAAGTGGTGGATTACTTTTCATTCAACTGAGTCTCCATCAGTTACTAATAATTTTGTGGAATAACAAAGTAAGAGCATTATTGCAACTTGGAAGGGCATTCGGCATAATACTTTCTTTTACTCTATAATATAAAAGCAAAGGCAAACCTTGATATGGTTGGTGGGAATGTGCATATATTCTACTTCTATCTCAACTCGTGTTTAATTTTTTTCCTTACATATTTGGCGCTTGTTTGTTTTTTATTTTATCAACCTCAGAATGCATTATATGATCGTTGCCCTCCTGAAAATGGATCCCAATGTGAGATACTAAGTCAAAAAAGACTTGCATTGCCAATGGTCCAAAAATTTATTAAAATGGGAAATAAACAGGCGTTTGATAACAATACCGTTATTTTTCCCCGAAATCCATACTTGCGCATAAGTCAAATCCCAGGTCCAAAAAATTGAAAACAGAAATCTCGATAAATATTCAAGAATGTCTACATAAAGACTAGGAAATTAGCAATCTAAATTATAAAACCTAGTATGGATATTTAAAAAAAAAAAAAAAAGACATTTTCATACTGCCAAGTTTGTTCAAGATTTCTAATTCAATCAAATCTCTCCTGACAAATTCAAGCGTAGAGGCCATAAGGATCATTTTGATGCCTTTTACATTATAAACTGCACAAATGATAAATGAGGTGCTACGCAAGATCAAACCAATTAAATATATCCTATCATTCAGATTATCAAGATGCTTACGCTGGATGGAATGCCCTTAGGAGTTTTGATTCTTATATATCCGTAAGTGGGATTTGTCGTTTCTTCGTGGTCGTAACAATCACTTCAAACAAAATCGAAAGGCCAAGAGAGAAAAAGAAGCTAGTGGAGCACCATGTAGGATTTCATACCAGAACTTTATAACGACAGTACACAATTAGCAATCACAAACATAGTAAAGGAGGAACAAAGAAAAAATAGTGGCGGCATTCAATAAGTATAATTGAATTTGCAATTTCAATGTCAAAATTTTAAGTACAACCCTAATTTGAGCTCTAATTATTAAATAGCCATGTGTATACCATATCTCCCACCACCAGTCCCTTTGAAGCCACCAAAGCCTACCTCAATTTGATCATAAAAAGATTAGAAAACTAAATCAAAATCTTAGCGAACCCTAGTGATAAAGGAAGATGGCAGAAAATTGGATTAGCAATTGAGCTAATCAGCAGGTCTACCACAAACCAATGGCCTTCCACCACACCCCACCGATTCCAAGCCAGATAATAAGATTGACCACTGAGATCACGAATCCGTAGCCCCACCATTTGGAAAGCGGCACATAGCCAGCACCATAAAACACGGGTGCTGATCCAATCCCGTAATGGGTAATGCCGCCCATAAGATTTGATAGAAATGAGAGGACCATGGCTCCAAGGTATGGTGGCGTACCCAAAGCACTAGCTACAGATAAGAATGCTGTGAACATGGCACCAATGTGAGCAGCCCCACTTGCAAAGAAATAGTGAGAATAGAAGTAAAGAAGAACCAGAATGCCAAAAGATGACTGCCATGGAAGTCCCAATCCGCCAACAAACTGCAAATAAGGCAAATAAAATAAGTCTACTATCAAGAATGGAATGGAATGACTGTTCCAATGAGAAAGATGAAGCTCTGTTAAGAATTACAATTTACTTTTATAGGACAGAGGGACATTAAAAAGAGCTCCAAAATGGAGAGACGGTAATAAAACTCCGTCATGTAGGTCTTTTTCACGGTTTGAAAATGGAACCGAGGAAATGACAAAGAAACAACATCAAATTACAAAGATAAGCTTTTCACAAAGTAGAAATGCTTAGAACTCAAAAACACCAAGTAGGTACAATTGTATCATTTACAAAAATCTTGTTTACCATCCTCAACAGTTTCAAAATTTTGCTGCAGAATAGCAGATTAAGAACTAATAAGTGAGGAAGGGAGCGGCAAAAATTACAAAGTGAACGTGCAGTTTATGCTTAATAGTTGTACGTGTACCCACAAACAGAAAAAGGGATATACTTCTACATGTTTCATGGAGGCTTTCATGCCCTACCAGAATAAACAATGTTGTAACTATTGCTCGTCGAAGGGGAAAACAGAACAAAGGTTGTTATATTCCAGGTCTAAAAAACCTTCTGTACCAGTTTAAATGCACCGACGCTTGACTATGTCTGGCTCATGTTTACAAACCACTTATAGACACTCAAGCCACTTTTTATCCACACATTTTAAAGGACCACAAGTACTACCTACTTATCCACCACTTATCTCTATAATTTATCCCAAACATGCTAGAGAAATATGATTAAACCAACCTTAACAACAGTTTGGCTGAACCAAGAGATGAGACCATATTTGTTTAGATACCCAGCCATAGCAATAAGTGCAGCAAACCAGGTAAGAGTGTCCCAGGCCACAGATTCAGCTAGGCATTCCTTCCACGTGACAACCCCAGTCACAAGAAGGACAGATAATCCAAGAATTGCTGCAGTAACAGCATCCACGTTCAGGGTACCTCCAAAAATCCAAAGCCCCACCTGGTATAGCACAGAGAGAAATATCAAGAAATATGATTTTACAAGTAATCAGGCCAAATAAGCAGAATAATTCATCAATGTATCGCACAAGGAGAGCCAGAACTGTGGAGTGCATTCTCTGCCTATTGAATAGAATGCAACAAATAAATTATACTTTTTCATCTACACATTCATTGTCAATGGGGTAAAAGCCCAGCAGTTCTCCATATATTCTTTATATCATGTTTTCTGTGTATAAATTATATCATAGGCAGAAGAGGAAAAAAAGTCACATGAAGTTGCATAAAAGAAAGCAATTGCAAATCCTTCAAAGTCATCAGAAATTAAGCATGCCTCATGATTTAGCCTAGAAATTAGATCTACACCATATATGTACATTGTGCACGAAAATCAAATTTTGGCACTTAACTCAAAAGTCACATAATAATAATTATCCGATATTGGTAACTTCAGAAGCAGATTTCATCCGAAGAGTCAAGAAAAAATTACTTCGTGAGTGTAAAATATAGACATGTTTATGGGAAATGTAAACTCAAGCAATAGCAAAATGTGTATGAATACAAGAGCTCGTGCTCATGGAAAAATCAAATGGCACACTACTAACCTATAAATTTATTTGTAGCAAGCAGACATTTGAAGGAAACCGAGGGTAGTAAAAATTGTAATAAGGATTAGGCAAAAGTTTTCAATAATTTTACCGTGAGAAGTAGAGTTCCAGCCATGATAAGCTCATTCTTTGACATGGGCCCCATCTTTTCTAATTTCTCCCTGGCAAGCTTAGGCGCATCGGGGCTACTCTTCACAGTGGGCGGATAGATCACATACAAAAGCAATGGGACCACAATCAACGACACCAATCCAGGCACAATTGCACCCTTTGCCCAATCCATCCACCCCAGGGTCTGATTTATTGTACTGGAAGTCAAGTTGGCGGCTAATGGATTAGCCGCCATGGCTGTCAAAAACATGGACGACGAAATCACTGAGGTTTGGAAGCATGTCAGCATTAGCCATGACCCCAATTTATGTTCAGTCCCATCACCTGCATTACTACCGCAAGCCACACACAGTGACTTTACCAATGGCAAAAAAATCCCTCCAGCCCTGGCTGAAACTGAGGGAATAGCCGGAGCCAAAAGGGCTTCACTAAAAACCAAACTGTAACCTAATCCTAAAGACGAACTTCCAAATAACGAAACAAATTGATACGCAATTCTGTTTCCTAATCCGGTCTTAATAAACCCACGTGCAAAAAAGAAGGCCAAAGCAATCAACCAAGGAATGGGATCGCCAAAAGCTGAAAAGGCAGCAGCAAAAGAGAGGGTTTTGGTCAGAACAGACGCGCCAAGACCCATCAATGCCACAGCTCCCAATGGTAAAGGCTGAGTGATTATTCCAACTATGGTAGCCAAAAAAATAGACAACAACTGCCACGCAATGCGCGATACTCCGTCCGGCGCCGGAATAAGCCATAGAATAACTCCTGTAGCTATAGACGCTATAAGTGGCTTCATAGCCGCCCCCTGCCATGGCTGCTGCTGAGGAGCTGACGTGGCAGCTGTAGAGGCGGAATTGACTATAATTGAGTCCCTTTTCGGGGAATGAATTAAGAATTTCGATTTTTGGGAAATTGATGGATTGAAATCTTTATTTTTTTGAGGATTAAGTGGGTTGTTAGAATTGTTAACGCTGTTTTTTATAAAAGATCTTGAATTCAAACAGAGGGATTTTGGGGTGGGGAAGCGGGGTTCGGGAGTTGAGAGTGGGCGAAATCGGAGGTTGAGGGGGGAGGTTAGTACTAAAGACGCCATCTTTTGATGGCGTTCTGCGGTGGCGATGGGATCTAACTTTTACTCTGTCTGTGTGTGGCGTTGGAGAAGGACCGGGGAAATGGAATTGATTTGTGCTGTTTTGAATATGAAAAATGGAAGTTGCAACATTGTCATTTCTAGCCATGAGATTGAAAGGGTTGGTGGTCAAAATTAAGCCCCGTTTTGTGCACATTTTGAAGGTAAGAACACATTTTTATCGTTGATGTAATGGAAAATACCTGATTGAAAAAGAAGGAAAAGTTATTGATGTGATGAAAAATATTATTTTATTGAAGAATGTGTGGTTGGTAATGAGTAGAAGAATGAGAATAAAAAAAATAATGTGGACCAAACATGACCTAAATTTGGTATGAAGCTATCCATTTTGGCATAAATGTGCTAATATTACCCATTGGCCAGTTTTGGAGATGGATCGACAATCCATTCTCAAGTGATTTAAACAAGTTGTAAGTTCTCTTCTATAACCTTACAAGTTTCCAATTGAACGACTAATAAAAATAGTAAGTTCACTAGTATAAAGAAGATTTAAATTATCACTCACTCCTTCTAAAAATGCGTTTCACTTTAAACACCAATCCAAATTTGAAAATAAACACGGTTTCATTATAGTTATACATCTAGCTGTCTCATATCGGCGATTTACATGTTGCTGGAACGAAAGAATGAAGATTAATTTGCTTATTTCTAAAATTTATACTCAATAAGTAGCTGAGGGACCAATAGTGAAATTTCTCGAATTTGAAAATAAGAGTGTGCAAATTGGGCGTATGATTATGATCGACGGAGGAGATGGGGATTGGAATATACGGCTGGCTTCTGGAATAGGACATGTGGTTGTTCAATCATGCTTAGTATACATTATAGTGTACATTTCGTTACGTGTTAAGTTACCATTTGAAAGTTTAAGACAAAAAAAAATCGGTTTTCGTATATTATAGTGTACATCATCTTTGTTGACAAGATGTGATCAGTGGAAAATCTATTTTTTCAAGGATAATGCTGGGCTGCCTCACAACAGGGGGGGAGGGGAATTTTCTTTTTTAAATCATATGGGTTTCGCATGGGTCTCATTACAAATGTGAGAGGATATCAATCAAAGTGTCAATTTTATTCTGACAAAATGGCATTTTCATTTTTTTAAACTGACAAATGATAATTTTACACGGGACGGAGTGTACACGGTGACCAAGCATGATTGATTGTTTGTTTCGCTTAGAGAAGTCCGTCTGACAGTCCGCAAGAATTGGAGTTCCTTTGGTGGTGGGTTCGTAAGCCTGGTGGTCAGTACACCAAATTGGTCCACGTGTCAAACCCAGAGTTGCTTATTACTATTGCCCACAAACTATCATCGGTAATAATTTTGTATTTTGCAACCAGGTACGTTGATTTAATCTCGATTCATCCGTGTGTCTAACGTATTTCGAACGCGTAACTCCTTAAACCTATATTATTATTAGCCAAAAAAAGGTATATTTAGGTACTATTTAAAGTCTTGTTAGACTAATTATTTTCAAAATATTTTTTTTTCTTTTTTTGTTCTTTTCAAAAATACGTTTTTCAATAAAATAAGATTACAATCAAATTCAAAATTTTCTTTATTTTTCAATCACACATTCTCCATAAATTTCTATTCCAAAATGCATTCTTACGAAAAAAAGGGGGCTCAAATGGGCTCTAAGCCAACGTACTTTTCTTTTTCTATTATGAGTTAATTTAGAAAAAAACAGTAATGCTTTGTTTGAGCTCCATTTTTAAATAGTGTATTGATAAGAAATGCGTGGTTAAAAAATATAAAAAATAAAAAATTGAATTTACATGTAGTACTATTTTATTAAATATGTGATTGAAATTGGGTTAAAATACTATTCAAATTTTTTTTTTTTTCCAAAAATGGGACTCAAACAATGATTAAGAGTGTGTTTGGTAGAGATTTTTGGGGGAATAATTGATTTTTGAATAGTGATATGATGGGAAATGTGTGGTTGAAAAAGAAGAAAAAAGTATTGATGTGATGGAAAATATTATTTTATTGAAAAATGTATGGTTGAAAATGAGAATAGAATACATTTTTAATGTTGATGTGACGAAGAATATGTGGTTTAAAAAGAAGGAAAAATTATTGATGTGATGAAAAATATTACTTTATTGAAGAATGTGTAGTTGAAGATGAGTAGAAGAATGAGAATGAAAAAAATAATGTAGACCAATTTGGTATGAAGCGATCCATTTTGGCATAAATGTGCTAATATTGCCCATTGAGATGGATCGACAACCCATTCTCAAGTGATTTAAACAAGTTGTGAGTTTTCTTCTATAACCTTACAAGTTTCCAATTGAACGACCAGTCAAAATAGTAAGTTCACTAGTATAAAAGAGATTTAAATTATCACCCACTCCTTCTGAAAACGTGTTTCACTTTAAACACAAATAAACACAGCTTCATTATAGTTATACATCTAGCGGTCTCTTATCCGCGATTTACATGTTGCTAGAACGAAAGATTGAAGATTAATTTGCTTATTTCTAAAATTTATACTCAATAAGTAGCTGAGGGACCAATAGTGAAATTTCTCAAATTTGAAAATAAGAGTGTGCATATTGGGCGTAGGGAGATTTTCTTTTTTAAATCATATGGGTTCTGCATGGGTCCCACCACAAATGTGAGAGGATGTCAATCAAAATGTCAATTTTATTCTGGCAAAATGCCATTTTCATTTTTTTAAACTGACAAATGATAATTTTACACGGGACGGAGCATGATTGATTGTTTATTTCGCTTAGAGAAGTCCGTCTGACAGTCTGCAAGAATTGGAGTTCCTGTGGTGGTTGGTGAATAAAGCTTCTTGTACATTTCATAGATGACAATGTGGATGACATTGTGTGCAAATTCAAAAATGAATGGACGGGAAAGTGTGTTTTGTTTTAAAACTGGCCACTTGTATTGCGACACGTGACACAATGTCAAAATTGATGTCAAAAGAAGTGTACATGTAGCATGATTGGTGGTGGGTTCGTAAGCCTGGTGGTCAGTACACCAAATTGGTCCACGTGTCAAACCCAGAGTTGCTTATTACTATTGCCCACAAACTATCATCGGTAATAATTTTGTATTTTGCAACCAGGTCTGTTGATTTTAATCTTGATTCATCCGTGTCTCTAACAAATCTCGAGCGCTTAACTCCTTAAACCTAGAGCTTCTTTGATAGAGATTAAAAACGGATTAAAATTGAAAAATTTGCTGTTATTGTTGACTTTTATTAGACGAGTGGGACCCAATAACGACTATGTTTTCAATTTTAATTAGATTAAAATTCCTCTTAAACAAGCTCTTATATTATTATCAGCCAAAAAACGTATATTTAGGTACTATTTAAAGTCTTATTAGACTCATTATTTTCAAAATATTTTTTTTTCATTTTTTGTTCTTTTCAAAAATACGTTCTTCAATAAAATAATATTACATGCAAATTCAAAATTTTCTTTATTTTTCAATCACACATTTTTCATCAATTTCTATTCCAAAATGCATTCTTTCGGAAAAAAAGGGGGCTCAAATGGGCTCTAAGCCAACATTCTTCTTTTTCTATTATGAGTTAATTTAGAAAAAAAAAACATTAATGCTTTGTTTGAGCTCCATTTTTAAATAGTGTATTGATAAGAAATGCGTGGTTAAAAAATATAAAAAAATAAAAAATTGAATTTACATGTAGTACTGTTTTATTAAAAATTATGTGATTGAAATTGGGTCAAAATACTATTCAAACTGTTTTTTTTTTTTCAAAAAATGGGACTCAAACAATGATTATATAAAATATTTATAAAAAAATCATTGTTTCAATCAGTCAAATTACTGCACCGATAGCTTTTTGCAAACTGCAAGGGTGCATGGATACTTATAGAATCTACTGACGGGGAAACTTTGAAATATTCGTCTTCAATACGGACCACAGGATCATGCTTGCAAAAACAATAATACAATACAACGTGAAGACAAAACTGAATCTTGAGGAGAGGAGAGGAGAAGAAAATTCTGTTTTAAACCTTTGAAACTGCATTTTTCTTTGGTCCAAAGGTCGAATTCAAGAGACCCTACGCCTCCACCAAAAGCAATTGACATGAATTATACCAGTGGCTGCCAATTGCCAAAACAAGGACCAAATATCAAACCTACTTATAAGTGTTTTTTGAGTTATTAAGGTCTATTTGGCATGAATTTTGAAAAGTTAGAAGTTACTTTTAAGATTATAAGTTACTTTTAAAGACATTTTTCAAAAGTTCTTTATTTGACTAAAGAGCTTTTAGAAAAAGTTAAAACTCCTTTACGATAAGCAAAAGCCTGTCAAATGACTTTTAAACGTGATTTTCAAAATTACTTCTTTATAAAAGTAACCTCAATTCTAAGGACAAACTCTTAAGTTGCTCTTATATAAAGTTGAGATATTGATGAAGCGAAAAAGAATCCAATCCGCGGAAATATATTGACAAGCAAAGATTCCACAATCCACATCAATGGGAAAATGTCGTAAGGAAAAGGTTGTTCACTTTTATGCAAATTGCAAAAGGCCAATCATGTAAATGTGAAGGGATCATAAGATCATTTAGAACCTTAGAATTCCCAGCCAATCTGATATGGAGTACAAGCGGAAATTCTAAAGAAAAATACAACACAACTCACAAGCATGTTGGTCTAAGTTTAATAACAATAACAATAACAATAATAATATATTATACGCGTAAACCCCAAACTTTTCCGTACTTTTTAACCATACATTTTCCAAAAATTCACTATTTAAAACAATGCTTTTTCCCAAAAAATGCCCACCAAATAAGGGCTTAATAACCATGTGCATTAACAACCCAAAGTTGTGCTAAGTACTGCAATGAATATAGTGCAGTAATAAGTAATTCTAAGTTGCCCTGTTGAAAAAACAATATCCATTGAAAAGACCAGTCACACAAAATAACATATTTTGTAGGAAGAAAAGTTGAAATTTTGTTCATTACACTGTTCAATCGTTGTCCTATAAGGTGTACCACACATACACAGAGGGTACATCTAGATCATGCATCCATGCTGATAGGGATGCTCGACTAGAGTTACAATGAGAACCAATCAAAATACATCTGAAATAAATTGAACAAGGGTAGATGTGATCTTCCATTTTTACTGGCTCATGCAGACCTGTGAAATCAACCTAGGCATTTCTGGGAAACCATGGCAATCCAGGTTGAAGGCATTGCTTGGAACCTGGAATAGGAACAATAGGGCCAAGAAAAATGCGCCACCAGTCGAGTATAATAGTGACAAGCATTGCAGCACCTAAAGCATCTATGGCCACTCGGGGCAAGTTCCATTGCTTGTCTGGTTTGTCTGGTTTCTCATCAATCCTATGCATTGAGAACAACACCCATCAGTAAAACAGCAATAGAATTAAGGCATGTCTGATACATGGACAAGACTAGATAGTGTGATGGATATAACGATGATCATATTTTTTTCTTTTCATGGTACCGTCTAGTATTGTTCAATTCAGCATGCCAACCATGTCATTAGAACATAATGTAGCCACAGTACAAGGTATTCATATCCTTATTTTTAGTTGGGATTAATTGGTCGAATACACGATTCTTTTTCATTTTAAGAATTTCCTCGTAAACACAAGAAAAGGTACTCTAGCAGCACAATACTGTATGTATGTATGTATGTATCAGCAAATGCCATCGACAAAACAAGATTGTGTTCTTGTGCTGCTCAATATAAGCAATATAATATATGGAAGCTCATCTTTCAAATGCATAATACTTCTAAAAATACAAAGATTTTAACCTTTACTCATCTATTTATTTCGATGAAGGTGAATATTTTTGCATCCATCACTTTGTGCTAGGAAGCGGTCTTAACTTGGTTCATATGTAATGCGATTGTGTAATCCTACTTAATTCATCCTCTCGAAAATCTTCAAGTAATTTCGTCAATATTCCATTTTCTCAGTCACAATTTACAATAACTTCTTCGTCTCCCATTGAAAACCACTCATAAGACCCAAAAGAATGTACTATTTTGACATCATCTTGTCCATCAGTTCCTAAATAATCCCGGCCAATCCCAACAATTCTCCTTTCCTCCCTAGTACTGCTAATTTATTTATTTGAATCTCAATTTTTTGTGAATATTTGCTCTGGTTCAACAACAAAACGAGAAACAGGCACTGTTATGGTGTTAACTCTATCACCTGAAGTCATAGAAATAGCAAACGTCCATGCATAATGCTTGAAACAGTATAATACGACATCATGACAGATAATATGAACATAGTTTTTCTTTTTTGAGGGTGGGGGGTGGTTTGTGAATATAGTTACCTACCTTAAAAACATAGGGAAGCTGACCATAAAATAAATTGCATAAAACAAGGAGCCAACTTTATACATGGAATCCCGGTCTACAAACTCGTAATAGGGAAACTGTAGAAGACCAAAACAAAAGATATTAACAGCCTTACTTTATGCAAGTCCAATGGAGAAATTGTCAAAGAGTCAACTAAGACGAACATAATAAAAATAATGGTGCTCGCATGTGAAGAATTCTTCTTTTTTTCACAATATCTTTACTACTTACGTTGGAAATAGCTAAGGTCTCAAGATATGCTATAAAGTATGAAAAAGCTAGAATCCAGGAGGCCTTAAAAAGCCATTGTGTCTTCCCTGGCAAGTGATCAATAGAATGTTGAAGCCTACGAAGTGTCATATTTGATGAAACGTGGTAAAACAAGAAGCACACATGTGTGAGAAGGAAAGTTGTATGTGGTACCTGAAAAAGTTAACTTCATAGTCACATTCAAAGGAAAATGAAACAGAGAAATATCACAAATGAGTGGAAATGAATATAAAATAGTGTTTTGGCTTACATTATTCATCTTCCATGAGGGAAAGGTGTAAGAAGCACCCAAGACGGTGAAAAAATAGTGGGTCCAGAAGTAATTTCCAACATAACTAAAAACAATGATCCAAAGATTAGCCTGCCAGAACAACAATTTTGTAGTCAGTCAATGCAAAACACCAAGAACTACCATTCAATAACTTCATTGGTCCAAAAGTTGAACCATGATGTAGTAAGTAAATAGCATTTGAAGCTATTTGATGCGGATAACGACTAACTTTGGTGCAAAAAATAAAATGATTCCTATTGTAATTAGGACTTCGAATCTTTATCTTTTATTACATGGTGTCAAGTCTATATAGAGTAGAGATTGTTCATAACTTCAGAAACGGAAAAGTTAGTTTTCTTTTTCCATAAGAACCTGAAAGCACGTCTCCAAATTTTGATGCAGATACGAAGACAGATTCTGGAATTGTGCTTGTAGAATGGATTCTGGAATTGTGCTTGTAGAATGGTGTTTCACTCTAATTTAAAAGTTAGCTCAATACTTTTTTTTTTTTTGCATGTCTGGGGTCATGTTTGGCAGTGTTATCAGCATAGCTTTTTGGCAGCACAAGAAGCTTACAGATGAGTGATGGAGATTTACCATGCAAGAGTACTTACCTTTACCCAATAACGATCCTTCCAACAAATGCTGCTATCAGCCTGCAAATTAAAAGAAGAAGAAATGTTATGGACTAGGGAAAATGTGTCCAATGCATCATTATAAAGAAAATCCTGTTATTTTCAGATTAAAATGAGGCTTTACAGCTTGGATTCAATTCTTGAAATGAAATACAAATAAATTGGGAAGAAACATCGATCTATCCACCTTTCCAACCAGAAGCATTGGTACAATAAAAGCAGGGAGTGCCGAAACAAGTCCCAGAAACAGATACTCCCATTCTGTGAAACTCTGACAAAAAGAACTCAAAGTCAAAATAGCATCTTGCACACGTGCAGGAATGTAGAACAAGAAGATGACTTCAACATCCATGTCTATATACAAATACAAAGATAATTAAAAAAAAATTGTAAAGGACTAATGATAAAGATGCAACTATTTCAAAATAAAAGTCAGCTTTTATTGCTCTATATTATGTTACGGGTGAGAATATAAGGCGAAAGAGTAACTTGTGCATCTAGCATTTGGTAATCAAAATTTGCAACTCCTAACAAGAATTACACCGCGCCAGATTTATTCTTTACTCCAACAAGGCCAGGATATAAAATGGTTGAAAGAGAATTTGACGGTGACAATGCTATTCCATACACTATCAGCTTAGAAAAACAATATACTACCATAACCTCTAAATTTCAATTAAATTATCAAATGCAACCAGTTTTCAGTTTGTTGATTGAGAAATCATCCATAATCAGGAGTATGGAATTCATCTAAACTCGGAACATGGTCTGGCTACAAGATCTCTTCTGACTGGCGCTGTCCTGTATGATGAGGGTGTTCAGGGCATCCCCAGCAATCTGATATTGCAGATGGCATGTGAAAAGGAGATTAGGAGAATAACGGCTGAGAAAGAACAAGGTCAGTTAGATTGTCATATCTCAGCACCTTACAGAATCTATCATCGATAGTAACCAACTAAACTGACCTAAACTTTCTTAGAATTCTAGGTTAGTCACTTATGTTTCCACACATGCATGCTTCTCAACAGAGATAATTTTCCTCAAAAGTAATGTCAGAGAATACCATCTCGTTGGTGCTTAAGATTTGCAGCACTCAATCATCCTATAAAAAACCAACTTGTCATGAGTTCCTTCCAAGTTCCTGGTTTTACTTATTTCCTTGGAAAAACTAGCAAATAGTCAAACATGATGGCTAGGGAACCGTAAGGAAAAAAAACATGTTTTCATCAAGAAGTGTGACTCCGCAGAAAGCCCAATCCTAACTTGAGGAGTAATCAAGTTTAAGGAGGTTTACATGGTAATTATTGATAGAGATACCATAGGTAGATAGGATCACCTAGCTTGTTTATTTAGCCTTGACCATCATTCTTCTTTTTGCGTGATAACATAAACATCATACAGCCTTCACTGGGGAGAACCCAGAGCATTGTTTTGCAGGAGGCAGCATGTAGGAAGAGAACTTCTATGAGCCACACCACGTTCTCAGGTTAGAGAAATTTTCATCACAAACCAAGCAGGGAAACAAATACATCTCTAGAATAGCTCAGCTCCTTATTCCAGACCCAATGCAATGAAAAAAAAAATTTATAACTAATATTTACTCTTCATAATTCTTTTAGTTCTGAAAGATCATAGAAAACATTAATTCAACAGTAAGCAGGATAGAATTTCAAATTTCTGTAACGCCAAACAGGGTAGGTTAGTAAGGTAATCATTCTAACTCGCCATAGCCAATTACTTGGTTGGCAAAACCTAAATATAAATATTTGCATCAGCATGCACATGCATATATTTATATCATCGTGCCTTTCACTTTTCATGATCCATCCCCCATTTTTATACGCTTCACAAAAACAGAAAGCTTCTCTTTCTTTCTTTTCTTCGTTTTAAAACAAGAATTCAAACTTCATTGTGATTTTAGCATAACAACAATTCTTTCTCAAAAGGCCTTAATCAAAGTAGCCGTTTTTTTCACCATGACATCATAATCAAGCCTCCAATTGCTTAACGGGATTAACTAATCAAATCAGCTTCGCCTTCAATTACTACAAGAGATAATTGACCGTGCATGTATGTATGATTCATTTAGAGTCATGTGTGTGTAATGTGTAGTCGAGTATAAAAAAGACCTCGTAAAGCTTGTAAGGAACGATAATGCCAAGGCAGAGAGCGAGCCAAAAGGGAGTGTAGATAAGGAAAAACAATTCACCCCATCTCTTGCTAGGATCTTGAGCCAACCAGAGATTTGAACTTGAACAACCCACTTCACTGCCTGGAAATTTTACGCAAAAAAATTAATTAATTAATTAAAGAAAGAAAATTGAAAATCCTGAGCAACCCACTTCACTACCTGCAAATCTCGCGCTAAAGAACGAAATCAAAGAAATGAAAATGAAAATCTTGAAAAACCAGATTAAAATTGCTACTGGTGTAGTGGGAAATCACCTCCTATTTCTTTCTGT